TTGAAACTTGGTCTGTATTATAAATTTACTCAGAACCACGTATTTTCCTGTTTTCTTTCCTTTGTATAATGCTTAGCTGAGTAGGTACTGTTTGGGTGAGATGCAATATAGCTACAGTGTGATTCATCACAGTAAGATTTCTTAGCAGGTGGTAAAAATAAGCTCAGAGTACCATGTAGCTGAGACCTAAATGTCTTGCATAGTTGCTACTATCAGTTCAGCTGAATTCCCCATGGTGACGCTGGTGGTTACCCAGTGTTGGACTAGCCCTCAGGATGGCTGACAGTGTATTTGCAATACCCATATTGTTATTATGGCTTTAAATTTTGAAGCTAATAAACTGAGATAATCTGGTTTTGGGCAATTGTTGGCAACTCTCTCTTTGTGGAAGTTTGTGGATATGTAAAGTCTTGTGGTTTGTTTGCAAGAGCGTGTAGCAATTTCTAGTATGCACTGAAGAGTTAGTTGCATGACAAAGGCTGATTGCAGTATTTGTTCATTCATTTTGAGTTAGGCACTTACCCTAAAATAAGCTGCAAATATCTCTTGTGTGCTTAATTTATTTTTTTTCTGTGCATAGGATTTGTTTGCCCAGGTGAGCAGTATAGTTGTCAGTACTTTAGGGGCTGCATTAGGTAAGTGCTTTAAAGCCACAGTGAATCAGCTTATTAATAAGCAGATATGCAGAAGAGTCAGTCAGAATCTTCATTTTCTTTAACTCCTCACCCATCTGCATTCAGAAACCTGACACATTTCACATAGCCTTGGCTTCGTAAGTATTCTTCTGGTTCCTTGTAAGACAGTGGAGGAAGTAACTCCACCCTGCTTTCCTGCTGGAGTTTATGGACTTCCCACATGCTGGGCCATATCCATCAAATAAACTACCTTAATTTGAACAATTTCAGTATTCCAAATAATTTTGAGATAAATTTGTTATCAAGCTGTTGTACAAGTGAAAGAGCTGGCAGCTAGGGATGGGCGGAGGTGCAGCTAGGGTGGGGCTGGAGCCAACACAGTTGAAGGAAGAAAAGAGTTGGCATCAGCTAGCACTTTCAGTGTTTTAAGTTGCTGCTTGATAAAGTAATATAAAAATAAATAAATTGTTAGTTTAATAAGTTGTAGGGTACTTAAAGGCTATGCATGCAGTGCTGCATTCCCCTGGTGATCAGAGAATTTCTTTAAGCCCCAGCTTTCATGTGGGGGGGGAGAAGTTAGATATCCAACTCTTCTGGCATGAGAAAGGTTTAAAAATATAAGACTTTCTTGTGACAGTGACTTTTAAACCATGATAAGCCAAATAATAAATTTTCAGTGCTACAGGAACAGTTACAATATGTGAAAAATGTGTGTGGTGGTAATATGTCTTTAAATATTAATAGTATTCCAGTTGCCTTGTCTTTTCATGTAGTCACCTGTAATCACTTACATATTCCCTCTCAGCATTTTGAAATAGTGAGTCAGGCCAACAAACCAATTGTTCAGAATAATCAGACTGTCACCCCACCCCTTTTAATGCAATGCAAAAATCTATTTTTGTGTTATGTGAAGAGAAAATGTCTTGGGTTTTGGCTGTGTAGTACTATGGATTTAGAAGTGTAGCATTTTGCAATTAATACAAAAGTTGCAATAATGTGTTGAACTCAGGTGTGTTGAGTTGCTCCCACTGATGTTTTAGGAAGATTGCACTTGGCTGAATAGAGAAATTAACTTCTGCAATATATCAAAAATCTTCATAAAATAAAACAGTGAGTAAAATGGAAAGACCCTGATGTCAATCCCTATGATAGATATTCCTACCCAAAGGTAATAGATTTTTTAGAATTAGTTACTTTATTTTAGAAATTACATAATTTTTAAGGGGGACTTGACATTCTTAGTGATTTTAGAATGTCTTGAAGGGAGCTCTGGGTTGCTGCTGCAGGCAAAGCTTTCAGTCTGATTTTCAGAAACATGTTTAATCCCCTTGAAGTTGATAGCAGAACGTGAAGTTATATATCCTCATAGGGTGACAGGCAATGTAATTGTCTGCAGAACTGTCAGTAGCAGAAAATATCTACTCCTTTGCTTCAGAACAACAATGCAAAACTTCATTAAAAACTGAATTCCAGCACAAGTCATTTTTCGGCAGAAGTATCTCTGTTAAAGTAAACTTAAAACAACAACAACAGCAACAACAACAACAGAAAAGCCACAAAACAAAACTTAAAATAATTTTTTCTACTTAAAAAGAATTTCATTGACTATTTGCTGTATGTTCACAGCATTAAAATAGCAATAATAAAAGATTTAGAAGTAATATGTGAAGTAATTTAGAAATAATTTGTGTAATTCAGAAGTAATTTGGGATATTTTCATTTAAATAAATTGATACAATAATATGTTTATTAATAAATTTTATGTTGTTTATTAAGTTTTAAGTTAGAAGGAAAAGTGGTAGGGGCTAAATATCATTATTGGAAAACAAAAACATGCAGGATGTTTTTCAAATTGCTTTTGTTGGGCTGTAGATTCTGATTGCCACGAAGATTTTATTTTTAAAGGATTTAGTGCATGCTTCTGATTTTTTTTTCTATGAGATACTCTTACTGGTTTTGACACTGCTTCTTTGATTCTGGGTTTGAATGTATAATTCAGGACAGTTCTTAGAGAGCCCAACATCCTTTGATTTGTTAAGTGAAGAAATTCAGGAAAAAAAATAGGATTCCATAAGGATGCATAAGGACTCCTCTGTGGACTGCATAGGCTGTGTAAGGTGCTTCGACTGAAATGAATGAAAAGGTTGTCACCTGAGTTTATTTGTTGAGTGAGCAGAACTAGAGCATAATTGAATGGGGACAAGGAAAAGGTAAGTATTTTTAAGGATAAGTAATGCTTCTGAAACTTAATGATGTCAGTGATTTGTGTTAGGACAAAACAAAACAAAACACCTTATTTGCTTGTTTAATGGTTTCTAGAAACACAGATGATATTTAACAATTTAGTAGTATCCCTTTGCTTTATCACCTTTCTAAAATCACCCAGATGTGCATTACCAGATACCTTTGTAACACGTCCACTGTGCAGAGGTGTAGTAACCAGGCTCAACTTGGAGACCACAGCTGAAGCTTGCCAAAGGAATGCAACGAGACAGTTGTGAAAATAGGCCGCCACCTGCCAGTTTATTCAGTTAAAATTCTCCTGCTTTTCTGAATACCACTGTAGCAGTGCTTCTTTATGTCCTTCCAAAATTTAGTCACAAAACGAAACTAATTCTTTTGGGGATGGGAGGGAATAAGAAGCTAGTTCAGGGTCTCCATCACTTTCTTACTGTGGTAGTTATGGGTCTCATTCACTTACACTTTTTTTTTCTTTTCCACCAACAAACTGATGATGGGCTTGTTCATGCTGCTTTTTGTGTAAAAAAAGCTGAGGGCAGATCATGGGCTCAGACTCAAACTTGTTTCTTGTTGCCAGAAACTAGTCAGTTCTCAGAAAATATTTTCAGAGTCATAGCTTCTGATTTAGCAAGATACAGTGTTTAATACATCTTTCTCACATTCAGTGCTTATTATCGGATTGATATTTCATGAATAAAATCATAGTGAGGGAAATTTGATAATAACATTTGGTAACTGAGCCAGTAATAATTTGGCTCCTTTCCAGAGCTAACAAAGTAATTCATCTGTATTTTTACTGTAAGGTAGAAATCAAACTATCTTATTTTTGTCATTGTTCAGGATAACATCCTCTCACTATTTCATTAAGAAGTAGTTCATGACATCAAGAATAAGACTGATTATTTCTTTTCTAGCTTTATTTAAAAAAAGCACCTTCACAAATTACTATGAGAAGAAGAACATATTCAGAGCTTGGTGACACTTCATAATCATTTAATAAATTACAAGACCATTGCTCTCATCCCCTAGAATGAATGAGGGTATTCCTAAATTAATTTATGTTCTCAACAGCTAACTCTAGGTCATTCTTCTGCTGTGAACTAGCCAAATGCCAAAGAACTTAATTTCTTCCAGCAGTCTTTATTCCAGATGTCTGCTATGGGGAGAGCATAAGGTACCTAGTGCACTGACTTCATGAGATGTCCAGCTCCCGGACCCAAAAAGGCTATCACACACATTGTTACACTTCTTTGTTGCAGGATGTCTTTAATGACAGTTAATTAAAACTTGTACACTGGTGCTTTATGGTTGAAACTCAGCATTAACCAATAAGCATAAGAGTTTTGTGTTGTAGTTACTGAACCTTTACAATTAATTTTATAGCAATTTTGGGTTATTTGCTGGCCAGCTGTAGTGTATTTTATGTACTGCAGGCTGTATGTACTGATAATGAAACTTTCATAATGTACTGATTATGAAACTTAATCAGAAGTTTCAGTGTGAATGCAGGACTTTGGGTGCAGAGATTCCGCTAAATGCTGGTGCTGCCTTCTGATAATAGGATATGGAGAATTTTTTAATTTGACAGTGGGTGGGTTTTTCCTTTTTTAGTTTAGTCTCAAAACAGTGCCACTTATCCTCCTGTTATTTTATAACTGGTAATGATCTAGTCTGTAGCAGTTCATTGTTCTTCGGAAGGTTCATGTTTGTTTATCCAGGTGTGTGTGTAGACACTGCAGCATGAATATCAAGAAATATATTACATATTCTAGTAAGACCATGCAATTTTATAGTTCTCACGTGTTGTATAATACTATGTCTCTAAATTTCCTAGAATTATGTGATTGAAAACTTTGGTGAATTTACATGTGAAAGCCAAGCAAAGTTGCATAAAAAAGCCCCCATAATAGTTATGCCACCCTGCTGTTAAAGCTATGTAAGTGGGGATGGAGTGCATTTTTTATGGTTTGTCCCCTCTTTTCTGCCGATAATGTTCTTTTTTTTTCCTGTTGTACTTCTTGCTACCCCACAGCCCATTTCCATTCCCAAATTTTCCTTTCTCTTTTCCTCAGTGGGATGATGGTGTCACTGTCTAGCATTCCTGTTGTTTCTCCCTGTCTATAGCTATCTTAATGACTTGGACCGCATAGCAGATTCCACCTATCTGCCAACTCAGCAGGATGTGCTCAGAGTTCGAGTCCCAACAACAGGGATCATTGAATATCCATTCGACTTACAAAGCGTCATTTTCAGGTAGAAAAAAAAGTTTTAACATGCACTTGCTTTGTTTCTTTTGTTTCCTTTTATGTTAGTAATGGCAAGTATAGGATATTGGTTAAAAGTGCATAAAAAGCAATAATTCTGTATTTTTAAAATTTGAGTTAGGTCAATTTATTTTCATGTAATTGTCTACATTTAATAAGGAAATGACATTAAACATGTCAGAAGGATCAAAGACAAATAGGTCCATTATTTTTGAAGGTAGTTATTACTAATAGAAAATCTGTAATTCATCTTTTCAATAATATGCATCAAAGTAATGAGTAGTAATCTGAAAATAAAATCATGTGTCTTTGTCATTCATGTAAATTATGGAATAAAAAGTTAGCACATGTGTAGTTGACTTTTAGAGAGAAATTGCTCTCCTTTAGAGAGAAATCACCCTACCTTAGTGCAAGTACAGTTGTTTAAAAAATAACTGCAAATTAGACACCTGTGCTTACACTGAGACATGGGAATATACTGCAGCAAACATGAGTTTTAATTTTGCCTATCAAAAATTTTAGTAGGTACATATTGTATTCTATTTGCTTAAAATGGGGCAGCTTTAGCAAATTGAGAATTTTGATTCTGGTAATTTGGGCGGAAAAAGGCAGTCCACCAAGTGTATTCTATTCACATCTGTTTCTGTTGAATACACAGGGCATAAATTGCCAAGTCATAGCTCATGAGACCTTTATATCTCATAATTCTGAGGGGGTTGAGTCCAACAATAATTTAAATACAGAAAACAAATCAGACTTAAAGCAAATATGATGAACTGTCTACTTACAAGAGATTCTATTAAATATCAATGGGAAAAATCATTAAGAAAACCAAACCAAACTGTAGTCTTAACTAAATTCTTGAATTTTGTCATTATGTGTGTGATTGTGTGTTTATCTGTTAAAGTATTCATGGAGTTGATGTGGATGTTAATTTTACAGAATGGTGGATGTAGGAGGTCAGCGATCAGAAAGAAGAAAATGGATACATTGCTTTGAAAACGTCACATCTATCATGTTCCTAGTAGCTCTTAGTGAATATGATCAAGTGCTTGTGGAGTCAGATAATGAGGTAAGCAATCATCAGCAAAAGCCACCAGTTTTAAAGAAAAATATGTTCACTTGTGCAGTCCCAGGTGTTTTCTAAATGCATGTACGAGCACATCTTGCACTCACTGGTGTGAGAAGCACTATAGGGATCAAAGGGAAGGAAGGGATCAGTCTTCAAATATGGCAAAGCTGATCCACTCCATGGAGGATTCAAAGAATTCTGTCTATTTTGTGTTGAAGGGGAGTGCAGACTGAATGTTTGTGCAGTTAGTGTTATGAGCAGAGGCACAATAGTTAAGTAGTGTAAATGAAAATGAAATTTAGAGAGTCCTTGCTGGAACAGACCCTGAGGTAGTAAATGTCATTCCTTTGACTTAAACCATAGGAAATATATTGTATTTTTATTTCAGAAGATAAGAGAATTAAGCAACTGGGTGAGCTGAGGGTGCAAAACACACTAGTATCCATTATTTTGCAGGCAGTTTCACAGAGTAAGGAGGTTTTTCAATGTTCAGATTATTTTATCTTTTCTGAGGGCTATTTTAAGTTACTCTTCAAACATTTAGAATTTTATTCACAGGCACTGTCCTATGCAAGTCTTCTAGCACGTGCTTACAAAAGTTAGGTGGAAGAAAGAAAACATTTGAAAATATCTTCTTCATGGCTGCATACATGTTGATTACAGTGTCTAAGAGAATGGTTGACATAAAGTAAAACAGGTGTCCCTCAACATTCATGTTTGTATGTTGAACTTTCTTCAGGATTAATTTTTTTTAAAAGCCTGGCAGCTCTGAAAGCTTTTATGTTCATAGTCTTTTCCTGAAAGAAAAATTAATTCTATAATTAAGTGTATCATTCAAAGCTGAATTTAGAAAAATGATGATGGAGTCTGCACCAACTTCATCTCTTGCAATTTTGGCAGCTAGACACATGGAGATAAAGAGAACTCAGTCAGACTTGGCTCATCTCAAGCCAAACTAGAAATGTCTGGTTCCGTCTTTTTCTGTTTGCATTAGTCTTCTGCAGCCACAAAGTCAACACACAGGTATTAAGCATTTTAATTATACAAGGCAAAGCAAAATATATTAGAAATCACGTAAAGAAAAATTAGTTATAATAATTTTCAAGTGCTATTGTAACTATCCAAAATAAGCTTTCAAACTTTTGGATTGTAGCAGTTTATATCTGTGTTTTCATATAGTCTTTCTCATAGGAAGAACTTCTCAAAGGAACTATCTCATAGGGAGAGATTGACCAGACTCTGGTTCCCTGTGTCGTGGTTTGACCCTGGCCAGATGCCAGGGGCCTATTAAAACCACTCCACTACCCTCCCTCCTCCCCTGTGCAGCTGGACAGAGGAGAGAGGAAGAGAGGAAAAAAACAGCAAAGGAATTTCATGAGTAGAGATAAGGATTGAAAGAAGGCAGTGTTAACAGGCAAAACAAACTCAGAGTGAGGATAAAACTTAAATTTATTACTAATAGAATAAGAGCTAAAGAGTGAGAAATAAAACACTGTCTTAAAACACCTTCCCCTTCTCCCCACCGTCCTTCTTTTCAGGTCTTCCTTCCTTCCCCCAGTGGTGCAGGGGGACGAGGAAAGGGGGGTTTGTTGTTATTTGAGTCCATCCTTCAGGCAGCAACTTTTTACTGTTGGCTCTTTGCAGTCTGATGGTCCTCCATAGTTTACAGGGGGACACCTATGTTGCGATGGTCTTCACGACGGGCTACAGGGGGGTCTCTGCAACTCCGACTCCTTCCTCTGCTTCCATGGGGTCCCTCCCACGGGAGACAGTTCTTGATGAACCTCTCCAGTGTGAGTCCATCCACCCCTCGGGCAACAGTTCTTTCCAATCTGTCACCGCATGGACGACTTCCCCAAGGGGGTGCAGTCCTTCATGGGTTGAGCTGTACCGACGTGGATCTCCTACAGGGGCCACAAGTCCTACTCGAAAAAACTGCTCTGGCATGGGCTTCCCTCTCCATGGGCCACAGGTCTCCAGCAGGACTTCGATCCATTTGGGCCTCCCACAGGGGGTTACAGCCTCCTTCGTGTATCTTCCTGCTCCAGCATGGACTCCTCCATAGGCTGCAGGAGGGTTTCTGCTCTCCAGTGGTTCTTTATGGGCTGCAGAGGCTTCAGCTTTAAGTCTTTGCCCTGCTTCTGGGGGAGGGGGTGGCCCCCCCCTTCATCCGCCCCTGCCTTCGGCTGCACAGAGCTTGATGACTGCTTGTTCTCCTGGACTGGAATTTCTTCTGCGCCACAACCTTCTCTTCCTCTGTTCTTAAATATGTTATCACAGAAGCACATCTCATTGGCTCAGACTTGGCCAGCAGCAGGAAATCCCTCCTGGAACTGGCTATCCTTGGCTTTTCCTAGGATAGTGAAAGCTTCTAGTAGCTTCTAACAGAAGCCACCCTATAGCCCACCCCCCCGCTACTAAAACCCAGCCACAGGTTAAACCCATGACATGTTCTAGTTAGGTGGGTTACTCAGCACTTTCTCTAGTTTGTCAGATAACTTCAGTGTGTAGATCATGACTTATAGCATCCCTGCTGTAGAAGACAAAGCATTGTCTTCCTAGGCTGAGTCATTTGGTGTATACCAGCTTGCTCTGTGTTCTCATAAGCTAAAAGGGTTCAAGTGTTGTGATCTGAATAGAACATCTGACTGAAGATTGTGCTCTGGGCTCTTCCATGACTGAAGCGATGCCTAAAATTGTGGTAGCTTTTCTGTAACTACTTTTCAACTATCATGAAAAAGATCACTTTACTCATAAAGCTGGTTTGATTTTTCAGATTTTTCACTTTCAAAATACTTTATGGAGGTCAAAACCTTCTTGCAGATGGTTCTTTCACCTTGCTGCTAAACTATTTGAGTTTCTTATTAACAATAGTGGAAAACTTCGGAACCTTTTTAGTTTAAAATATATTCATTACTTTAATCATGACCAGTTTTTGTTTTCAAGTCATATATACATAGTCTAGTAGACTTTCCGTCACCCTTAGGTCTGTGTTACTCTAGCTCTGGGAATGATCCAGACAGTGTCAGAGCTAAGCACCAATCTGGGCAGCTTAAGTTTTGGCTTTCAGCAAACTGTAACCTGTCTGTCTAGATTTTGTTGGTATGCCCGGGCACTGCTTTCTTCCTTTCCTTTTCTCTTCCCTTTATCTCTAACCATTGCAGTGCCAGAATAAATGGAAAAATGGGTTTATTTACTCTGCATAAAGCAAAGCATAGTTTTTCTGAATGTGAGTGTGGCAGAAGTATGGGAAAAGGTTTTAAAGGTGTTAGTTGACGCCTTGAATTAAGAAATTTATCCCAGAAAAATGTTTTTGTTTGTCACTACAGAGTGACAACCTCATAAGGGAAGACAGTGATTTAACTTGGAGACTTTGGTAACCAGCCAAGAGATATTTTTGCACCTAGCTTTAAATCGTGAAGCAGAATTGAAATTTTAGCACAAAAGTGAGAGAGTGTGTATAAATGCCCTGCTTTCTTCATATATGTGCCATCATTTTGATACTAGGATGGAATCTAATCCTTCTTTGATCTGTGTGCCTTGTACTGAAATTAAAATATCTGACTTGACAATTTACAGTGTTCTGCTATTTCCTTTGCATTGCTTTCATGACCTGATTAAGCTATGGTTTTTGTAAGATGGCCTACTTTCTTTTTCTAATTTATTCACTGCCTGAAGTCTCTTCCCTTGTAGTACGTTTTTACAAAGAAAACTGTAATTTTTAATAATTTGTGGCATTCTTTTTAGTTAATACGGTTTTTCATTACACTCATTTTCATGACTAAATACGAATCTGTAGCAATTACTATTTACCATTTGGTGCATCTATGATTATATGACCCTTTCTCATTAAGAAATCGGTTTAGACCCCTGAAGATTTGTATTTCAAAATGTAGTGCCTGGTGGATGCTTAGTTGTAAATCTATTTCTTCCCTTGTTTACCTCATTCAAGAGAAATACATTGGGATTATAAATCAGATGAGCTTCTGCTGAGTTAAAAGGATTTGTTAGTGTCTCTCCAGGGCTTTTACTCACTGGATATGTGTGAGGTGGAGCTGGGAACTGTTTCTGTCTTTGTGCCTTTGGAGGAGTTAAGAATTAAAAGTTCTGAGGAATATATTATAACTAATGTGTAAGGGGACATCATACATGGAAAGCAAAACAAGTGTTCAGATTGCCTGTTATTCAGAGACCGGTGTAGGATGACTTTTAAATGACACATTCATGAAACTGTACTCCCAAGACAAAGATCTGCAACTAAAGAGTTGGGAGCTTCAGTCCTGAAGAAAAGGACATATGGCTGTCCGACTGTATTTTAACTGATTTCTCTAAAAGGTGATACTCAGAAACAATGGCATCTCTCTTAAGTATGTATCTGGATTGTACATAACTTTATTTTGGTGCATAAGTACAAAATGGGAAGAATCGATAAAGATGGTATATTTAAACTTATCCTGCAAAATTTCAGTTGATGTACAGTCATGAAGTCCGTCTTTCTTCTAACATACATGAAGAAGCAGAGATAGCTAGCTGTTCTGCATTCTGCCCTTAATAAAACAGAAAGTCTTTCTAGGTACATTGGTGAAAATGAGGACAAAATTTGAGCCAGAGGACATAATATACTAATTACATTAATAGTACTGTAAATTAAATAAATATTACATTAGACTGATATGATGTGACAAAGGAGAACATGTTATAAATTAAATTATCAGTTGTTTCATCTTTTCAGTTTTTCAGAAAACTCCAGTGGAATTAGAGGTGAAATAAATTAGGGAATCATCTGTCTGGTAAATTGATTTATGATATATTATATCCTGTGGGTCATGCTTTAGCTCTGAATTATGACAGCAGATTTGAAGAAATTTACGGTTTTATTAAAAAGCACAGTTTAGAACTTTACCCATGTTGAAAATCGACTTATTTTCTTAAATAAAGGATTCATTCTAGATTAAGTATATTAATAGATATTACAGGACATGCTGCATTTACATACGTAT